GCCACAACGCGGAGGTGGGGGGGGGGCAGGGCCTAATAAGGAGTCAGCTTAGGGCTTAAGTTGCTGCAGGGGACTGGCCTGGCTCTGGAGGAGGAGCAGAGGGAGGCGCCTTTCCTAGCTCTTCTGCTACCTATTGCCTGGGCAGTTCAGCTCCAGGGAGTCCTGGCTGGGGCACAGCCCTCCCTGCTGTCCCATGAAGCCTGAGTGGGAGGTGTGGGTTAAAAAGGGGCTCGGTAAAAATGTACAGAGATTGCTGTGGCACACAAGAGGCAAGCAGAGGAATGAGGGCAAATGATTTCCCAGGCCACTGCAAAAGGGCAGAGGGAAGGGCAGAGCTCTCCCTTTCAGCACAGCATTTAGGCAGCCTTGTGCACCAATAAGAAGCCAGAGAGGTGACTCCGGGAGAGGGGATGAGTGAGAAACGATGAGACAGAGCAGGCTGAGACTGTGTCTTTCAGCATCAGTTAGACCAGGGGTGGTCAAGCCCTGGCACATGTGCCACAAGTGCCATGCGCTGCTGCTGTGCAGAGCATGCGAGGGCAGGAGTGAAGGAAGCTGGGGGCTGTGGGAGAAGTGTGGTTGCAACAGGGCTGTGAGTGAGGAGGGGAGAGGAGGATGGGGTCTGCACTGCCCCTGCTGACCTGCTGAGCTGCCCCACCACAAACTCAGCTCACCTGGAGGGGCTGGGCAGAAACAGCCCTGCACTGTCTGGGCAGATGGACTGGATGCGGGCCAGACACAACTGCAGAATTTTTTTCCTGGGAAAGGTAAGACTGACCGCCCTCCTTCCCTCTCCCCATTCTCCAGTGCTCAGCACCACTCTTCCCCCACACTGGGGCACAGAGGGGTTTTGCCTTTTTAGTTATGTCTCTGCACTGTCTCAGCCAGTCCCAGACCAGGACCTGCATGCTCACCTGAGTCCCAGGATCCCAGACTGAGACTGACCCTGTCACTGCCCCATGTCAAGCCCTCTGTGTTGGGTGCCTGCAGAAACACATCAGGGCACCCCTCACACAGCCCCACATGCTTCGGTGCCCCCCCTGAACCCTCCATCCAGGGTGCCCCCACTTACACCTGGAACCAGTGCTCCAATACTGCTGTCCCACGCGGAGACCTCCAGGGCCCTGCATCCTTATCACAGGGTGGCCCTTCCCGAGAGCCAGCCCTCAGGACACTTCATCCCACTGCCCCATGGAATCGCATAGGCCCTGAATGTGCAACTGGGGGCAACCTATTAAGAGAGTCCTTGTTGGTGGGACTGCCCAGTGAGAGGGGAGCAAGCCACTTTAGGAGACCCCAGTGACACCCTGCAGGCAGCCTCTGGCATGAAGCGCCCAAGGGTGCAAGTCACTTTGTTAGTGTCATAGGCTCTAAAGGTGTGGAGGCCAGAGTGCTGCTCTGTCCCTGCTTCTGTGTCCCAGGGGAAGTATGGGCCCTAAAGCTGTCCCTGAGCCTATGGCAAACCCATCACTGAAAGAATCTCCTCAGTGGAGACTGTTGCAGGGTAGACACGTTACAGCTGTGGCCAGAAAAAAATTAAGCTATCACAGCTGGTACAGTGTGGATCTCCCCACCCTGAAACTCCCTTGCCAAAGACCCCATGCACAATTAGTGCAAGGCAGTGGTTTTCCACACTTCTTTAAAATGTGCACACAAATTTATTTTACTTTATTTTTCTTTTTAATTGAAGCAAGGCAAAACAACAGAGCAGAGGTGGCCAGCCCTCAACACCAGACTGGAAGCAGGAGCCACATGGGATGGAGAGGTGGCAGAACATTACTGCCACTGCCAAGAGCCAGATTAAGACTTCCCTGAGCCGGCAGCTGCTGCTAAATTAAGGACTTTGGATCCTTGTTTGCCATATGAAGTTGCAGTGTTTGCAGGGTTAATTTGGCTCTTGGCAGTGGCACTGCCTCTCCCAGAAGCATCTTGCCACTTCTCCACTCCACAGGGTTGGAGACTCAACCTCCCCTGCCTTCATTCTGGCACCCCATGGTGCAAACTCTCTTAGGTATGCTTCTGGGAGACAGGGATCAGAGCAGTACTTGGTAAGAGGAGTGCCTTGACTCATGGCACACCTGCCAAAAAGACTAGCCATCATTGCACTAGAATACTGCCCACTTCATGCCCCCTCCTGTTCTGTCAGATCTGCCCATCTTCGCCTTTTACAGGCAGAGCTGTCCTGGGAGCAGAGTTTTCCCTGCGCTATCCACCGTGATGCCCAAGTCACTTACCATCATGCAAGAAATGGCATCACCTCAGGAATAAGTGATAGTTTGGATAGGGATGATCCCGGTTTGGATAGGGGTGATCCTGTCTCAAGCCGGGGGTTGGACTAGATCAGTGTTTCTCAAACCATGGTATGCATATCCCTGGCGGTATGTGAGACACGGGCAGGGGGTATGCGGGTGCCACATTTTGAATTTGGCACACTTCCCTGCCTGGCGGGTTGGAGGCATCGTTGCCTGTTCGGGCTGGAAGTTCCAGCTGCCGTCACGTCTGGTGCGCCGGGGCTTTCACTCCCCAGCGTCAGTGTGTCAGGGGAGGGGGGCCCCGCACAGACTGCTTTGCCCTGGGCCGTGGTCGGCGAGGAAAAAGTGGGACTCGGCTTACAGCGGCAAAACCAGAAGTGCCACAGTGGGACTTCAGGTTTTGCTTTTGCTGCGTCGATCGGCAGGTGGTATGCGAGGTAGCAAAGGTTGAGAACCACTGGACTAGATGACCTCAGGAGGTCCCTTCCAGCTCTACTTCTCTATGACTCTATGATCATGCATTTGGGTGGAGAACCTGTTTTCAGTTTTATCCACAAGGGGGCTCCCTTTTGCCGCTATCGGACTGCTGGAGCAATAGCACCACTTCTATTAGACCTTTCCAATGCATCTTCTCTATCCCCATAGAACTTGGTTCTTGCTAGGAATGTCAATCTGTATAAATTCTTTCTGTTATTTTGCATTCTCTTTTTGCTTGTACAGGGTCTTGGAGGTGCTGGGTGTCAGGAAGGAGAAAACGGGATTTTGAAAAACTGTCTGAGAAACATCTCTGGGATTCCCTGAGCGTTCTTGGGCATTGGCACAGACGGTGGCAAGCAATACAGATAGGAAAGCACATTGTGTTTTGTTCCAAGTCCTTTACTGGACTCCAGCAAAACTGACCCAGAAGCATATGTCCTTGCTAAGCAAATGCTGGAGACAGAACTTAGAAAATGGCAACTCAATAGCAATGGAAATGCATAAAATCATGACAGAACCAATTTCAGTTGCGCATATGACAAAAAAGCCATGACCACCCCTTCTGGTCCCTCCCCCGACACAAGTCAGTGCTCCAGGTCAGACTAAGTGTGGAGCAAACCCTGCTGCTCCTCAAAAGACTCTTACCCCACTGCAGGAGGGGAAGCACTGACAGTCTCTGCGTATCTCCTACAGCACACACTGAAAGATGCTGCTAGGGGCCTTGGCATCGACAGGGCCCCTCTGAAAAACACCAGTGCCACCTCCAACTAGTGTCAGGGCAGCCAGTCCACAGCCATGCTGGTACTTGTGTTCCTGCTCACCAGCAAGGTGCTATAACCAGATCGGGTTTTATCTTTTTAAGAGCCTCCAGCTCTTGCTGTATTTCTGTTTCTTCATTTTCTCCCCAGTACATCAGCCTGTGGGGGAATAAAGAAAAACAGGGAAGCATCAGCTCTCTCTCCAGGCATCACCTCTGAGAGCCTAGTCCCCCTGAAGCACAGCTCACTGCACCCTTCGCTGCACTTGCACAGCTGGTGCCAGACCCACAGCATCTCTATCACCCTTATCTCTAGCCAACAGGGACTCTTCATGAGGGGGTGGGGAGGAGAGGCGCTGGCTTAGTCTGGAGCCTTTTCTGCTCCCTCCTCAGCCTGACTGCATAGGCTATTCAAAAAGCCGGAGCCTGAATTGATGCAACCTTTGCAGATTAGTCTAACCTGCCTAGGTTGAACCGGTTTGTAACAGTACAGATACTTGCTTTGGACTGAGAAAAAGTGGCCACATGCCTGCAGTTGCTCAGGCCAGGCGCTGGGGGGAGCTAGAGTGCACCCCTGGCCATTGGCCAGCCTCAGCTGAACTGGCTACAGAGGGGTTTAATACCCTCCTCCCTGTCCCACTGGCAGGGACCCAAGCTGGGTCTGCTGGGCACTCCCCCCTCCTCTATCTCCA